CTGTCATGTCAATCCAGGTGGGAGAGGGCGGGGGGCATGAATCCATCTGACATCTATCTGCACTTTAGTTTTGTCTCCTCATGCAATAGACTGCTTCATAACTCCATCTCCGGGTTGGCTACCCCAGCACAGATGGGTGTCTTGGTTAGACAACAACACAGCTGTTGTGTAGGGCGCTCTTGGCCTGCATCCATCTCTGTACTAAGGGTTTCCAATACTTTATCTCATTAATCAGCACTAAGATGCTGTGAGGTACAACTCCTCTACTTATGCATAAATGTAGTTGCTACTGCTGTATTGTTTAATATATATGTATGTGTGTGTATATATATATATATATGGATTTCGGAGACGAAGGGAGAGAGAGAGAGGGGTAGAAACATCAGTGATGAGAGAGAATCATTGATTGACTGCCTCCTGCATGCCTTCTACTGGGGATTGAGCTGGTAACCCGGGCATGTGCCCTGACTGGGAATTGAACTGTGACCTCCTGATTCATAGGTTGATGCTCAACCACTGAGCCACACTGGCCGGGCTATCCTTATTTTAAATGTAGCACATCTTTATCTAGTCTTCCTGGGGTATTCAATTTAGCTTTCAGAAAAACAAGAAGTCTTTGTTTTGCATTTATGGTTAATCAGCTTGTTTAATATTTAACTAAATTATGTAATTACAATAGTGAGTGCAATATGTATAAACAGATTTTGGAATAAATACAATGCACTCTTGCAAAATGCATGAGCTACCAGGAGAGAGAGGACTTCCTACTCAGTCCTACACCATCCTCCAGCCTTCAGAGCATCTGTAGAGAGGACTGGCATGTTGGTTAATGTGTCAAGTAGGTTAAATAAAATTCCATTAAAAGTGGTCCTACTAATAGAAATACACACACAATTCATATTTGCATGTGCCAGACACTTGAAGTGAATGCAATACTTGTTTGGAAATGATTTTGCTTTTCTGATGAGTTTTTCTTCTGGCTCAACCTTTTCCAAAGACTGGTTCTGATTTGAACTGGTTCAGTAGGATTTTAAAAACAACCACTTTGATTGAAAAAAAAAAAAAAAGTTAATACTTGGGTTGGATACAGAGTTTAGCCAATTAGTGTGTTCATTTTGGTTTGTGAGTCATATTATCTGGGTCCACATTATTCATAGTCAGAAATGATTCAAAACCAATGTTTTTTCTTCTAGTCTAAAAGTGCCTCAGGCCTCTTTTGTCCTGATATATCATTGTTCTAAGCAATGCTGAAGTGACATTTATTGGGGACCAAAAAAGATGAACAGGAAGAGACTGACATGAAAACCCACTGTCTTGATTCTGACACTGAGGTGGTCTTTGTTTTCTCTTCCCTTACATGGTATGAGTCTTGGCTAAACATATTTTGAGCTCTCTGAAAGTTGGTTATCTTAGGAACTGAAGACATCAATATTTCTGGTTTAGTCACAAAGAAGTCATAGAGCATTCTCTTCGAAACCTAAGGACAGTTCCTTGGGTACTAGGTAGTGGAGGTCTGAGAACCACTCAACCATGGCCTTCCCCTTCTCCCCAGACCCAGGACAAAATCTGCCATTCAAAACAGAAATGTAATCAGTGGCACATACAGGGCACTGTGTGGTTTGCATGGCTCCTTTTGCTAGGAGCTTTCTTTCTACTATCTTGTTTGTGCCATTTTCAAGAAGTCAAAACCCCCTTCTAGCATGAATCAGGTGGTACTGGATGAAACTTGAAGACCTCATATGAACTCATGTCTAATTTAATATAGATTCAAATGGATCTATGTCTATATCTGTACTTACATCTCTACCTACATCTACACCTATATCTATGTCATCTGTCTAAATATATGTACAAATATAGACATTTGATACATGTCTTAGTATATACACCTATATTTCCTAGTTCTGTCCACTAAGTAGGCCTAGAAGCTATGACACTCCAGTAGCCATGAGCACACCCAGTATCCAGATCTTGGTTTCTAATACCATCCTATCTAATAAGGAGGGAATATGCTAATCAGCTGCCATGCCCACAGCCACAAAGATGGCGGTGCCCAGTCCCCTTAGCCCCCCAGCCACCCAGGGCTGCCTAAAGCCCAGGAAACCAGGGCTGGCCAAGGCTTGCACTGCTGGCAGTGGCAGCAGCAGAGGGGGGATGGGGCATCGCCTTCCTCTGATCGCTGGGTCGCCTCCTGCCCCTGAGGGTTCCCGGACTGTGAGAGGGGGCAGGCCGGGCTGAGGGACCCCCCCTCCAGTGCATGAATTTTCATGCATCGGGCCTCTAGTTATCCAATAAAAGGAACCAGGGCACTGTGGACAAATGGCAGATTGTAGGACTTGGGAAGAGAATATGCAAGATGGGCCCAGAACATCTTGTAGTGCCAGAAATTAAAGAAATACACAAAAGCCAAGTGAAGGGGTCTATCGAAGGGACATAGGAGCCAACTGTAAGAGCTACCAATAGACAAAGCTGGAACAATTTGAGCAACAAAGTAAATAATATAGTATTGGATTAAATCCAAAGTACAAAATCTATACTGATATAAATAAATTATTGAGTAGATGAGTAAAGGAAGAACAGGCAAACCTCCTATACAGAAGAATCCAAAATAATTTATGTAACATTCTCCACTCACAGAAGTGGACCATAATGCCCTAACTCTGAAGTGTGGGCAGTACACAGTGACTTCCTTTTAATGAGTACAGTAGAGATACCTGACCAACACTGCCTGAGCCAGGTGATCAACATCATGTTAATAGCATGTCCCCTTGATATGATGGGAATGGCACTTCACCTCTGTGATCTTCCTCCCCAAAACCCATAGCCCCAGTCTAACCATGAGAAAAACATCATACAGATCCAGCCTAAAGGACAGTCCACAGAAAACTTGCCCAGGTCAACAAAAGCAAGGAAAGTCTGTGAAAGTGTTACAGTCCAGAGGAGCCTAAAGAGACATTACAACTAAATGTAATGTGATATTCTCATGGGAACCTGGGACAGAAAAACAACATTAAGTAAAAACTAGGGAAATGCAAATAAAGTGTGGGCTTTACTCAGTTATAATCTATCATTAGTTCATAAGTCATGACAAATGTACCATATTAATGTTAGGGAAACTGGGAGTAGGGTATATGGGAAACTCTCATTACAACTTTTCTATAAATCTAAATTTTACAGAAATAAGACAAAATAAAAAAAAATTTAGAAGTTTATTTTGAAATATTCTCCCTGGCCACTTCTTTTCTTTCTCCTGATCCTGTGTCTCCCAACATTCTGGTCTGCACCCTATGGCCTGGTCACGCAAGAAATTGCAGTGGCATAAACATGCAGCCTGGACTGCTCTCTGATCTCTCTAAATTGAACATGGCAGCTCTTGCTTGTTGATACAGAGAGCGGAATACCACATCTAGTTTTATGGCACCCTCATTTCTTGGCTTATCTGGATTCTGGGAGCTTATCTGAGGCATTTTTATTGGCTGGAATGTGGTGTGAGATGGTTTGTTTGTAGCCTGGAGGAATCCTGTGCATTGGTGTCTTGCTGTTGGAGAAGCCAGACCCCATCTGCGGGGCAGAGACACATTGCTCAGTATATTGAGAACATGAATGTGAACATAACTTCTTAATTTGTTAATCACCGTGGTATAGCCACTAGAAAGACACACCATGACATGTATTCCTATACTGAGTGTTTGGACTATCTGCAGTATGTTGTTGATTACGCACCCAAAGTGATTTCCCAAAGCCCAGTGTTCCTCACTTAAATGTCGCCATTGCCCCAAGGCCCAGGCCCACACTTGGCAGGCAAAATCATTGCTAATGGGATTCAAGAAAACTCTGGCAGCTGCATGGTTGCCTCCCCAACCCTTTCCTTCCTTTCGCCATATCCATGCCTCAGGAGAAAGGATATCATTGCCTCCTGAACAATGCTTCCGAGCCTCTGCCCAAGCCCTTCTTTCTCTGCTTCTCTGGAGACCTTCTATACTTTCTTCAAAACCCAACACAAGTGTATCCCTTTGAAATGTTCCCAAGCTACCCCAGGCAGAGCTGCCTGTCCCCTCTTCTGCTCATGGGTAGAGAGCTTTACATGCCTGTATTCATGTACTTACAGCATTCTGTTGAATTTCGGAGGCATCTGTCTCTCTTACTGACCTGGGAATGAACTGCCCAAGGCATGGCCAGTGTTCTACTTACTTATCTTTGTATCCCCAGAGCCCAGCATAGTGATTGGAAGGTAGTAGGGAATTAAACAGGTGAATGAATACAGACCCATTACTTTGTGTTATTTTTCCAAGAAAGGCAGTTAGTCATATAATTTCTGAACTCAACCAGCCCTGAATTAAAACCCCAACGCTATCACTTGCAAATGAATTTAGCCAGGTTATTTAATGTCTCAGTTTCCTCAACTGATAAATAGTGGTAATATTAACCTCATGGGACTATTAAGAAGATTACATATGGAAGTATGCTACTTAGCAGTGCCAGACACAAATACTCATCCAACGATTGATAACTGTAATTGTTGGGTCAAAGTGTCCATGTTCTCTTGACAGGCCCCTCTGTGTCTAGCAACATGTAGCCACGTGAGACAAACATCTTGGAACAGAGATGCTATTGGTGCGGAACCAATCCATTTAAGCATCAGCTCATTGACCTTGATCCTATTGGCCCTGTGCCCAGCCTAATTGTATTTGAAGATCAGATGGAAGACTCAAGTGGCTCAAATGTCTACAGAAGCAAGAAAACCCATTTAAACCAGGTAACAGATTAGTAGATTTTACCTCTAGTTATAGTTCTCATAGGCAAGTCAATTGTTTCCTTGCTGCTGGCCTTGATGACTATCCTTGGTGATTAGTAATAAATAAAACTGTTTGCATTTCCCCAAATATGTTTGAGTCTCACGAGGCACATATTTCTAGGACAAGAGCCAAAATTAATCAACTCAGTCTTAGTAAAAGCAGCTGATGGAAGCATAATCCACAACTTTAATTAACATTGAGGCTTTGAAATTGAACACACAGAAGGAAAATTAATGAATTGGTTAATTTTGCCTTTCCTGTACCTTAATCATTCAATCTTTACCCAGAACACACATACCCCTGTGCGATATATATTCTTCTAAATTTTTTACCATCACAAATGGAGAGTTATTTTCATCACCTGCTGATTTCATTTGTGCATATAAAGCATTCAGTTACCATGCTAAAGAAAAGTTAAGAGGCAGCCCAGACCCTTGCTAAGCTGGTGTGCAAGGTGACCTGCCCAAGCATCTCGAGGCTGCTGTCTTTGACTTAAACAGCCTGGCCTGGCTGCACTGCTGAAGCTGCCAAGAAAATAAACCAGGATTCTTGAAGGCTTTTCGTGCTGGAGTCATATTTGCAAATCTTGTTTGGAACAGGCTCTTGACAAAGATGGTTCCTCCCTGTGCTCCTACCGCTCTGGCTTGGTTCAGTGCAAGAGGGCTACCAGCAGTTTCCGGAAGTCCCCAGAGGTGTCTGAGCAAACCATGTCAGAGAGGGACTTCTGATACTTCTCTTGGAACTTCGCTTTTATCCCCTGAAGGTCAGCCTGTAGGAGAGAAGACAAGAGCAATGGAGACAGCATTTACAGCGTGTTCACCATAAATGCAGCAGCACTTTGCTAAGCATGTTATTCTCCTTTGCTTATTTATGCCTCAATCTTTAGAAGTGGGGTCTATTATTTGTCCTATTTTGTGGATGAGAAAGGGAAAACTGAGTTCAGCTCCCCAAAGGTTGCAGAGGTGTCTATGTGTGTATGTGTGTATATTCCAGTAAAACTTCATGGACACTACAGCTTGAATTTCATATGATTTTTATATGTTGCAAAATTTTACTTTCCTTTTGAAATTTTTACAGTTATTTAAAAATAACTCATTCTTAGGTAGCAGCACTGGGCAGAAAGGCAGAGATTTGACACGGAGCCTCTTTTCTTTTTGTACCCTGATCAGCAAGGGCATTGGTACCAGACAACAAAACTCAAATCCACTTGTAGGACTTATTTTGAATCTAATTCACTGGAAGCTTGAAAAGCCTCGTGGTAGAAGTGGGGAGAGGACTCAAGAAAAACAAATTAAAAGATTGTTCTGCTCTCAAGTCTTACAACCTAGAAAGGGAGAGAACACTTGTCGTAGAAAAGACATAATTCCAGATGGAACATAGTGAGCCTCATAAAAGAAGCAGAGCACTGTCTTTAAGCAGGAGTTTTGTTGCTTTTTTTCCCTTTAACCTTTTAATGTTAACTCTGTTTTGCTTTCTAGACAGACCTACAAACCATCACTCAAGTTATGATTCTTTTGACTCCTGCCCCAACTAGAGAGCTGAAGAAGAGAGAGAAAGATGAGAAGAGGAGAAGGGGGGTGAGTGAGGAATTGTTTGAAGTGGGTGCTGAGCAGCAGAGATCCTGGAGCAGGCAGGTGGTGTCTATCTCCTTGCTCCCCTGGCTTGTGCACCACTTGGCTGTGGAGGGGGGCGGAGGGGGGTGGGACAGAAAAGGGGGGCTGAGGGCACACTGTGGCTCTGTTCTTGTACCATGATGCTTTGGGGAGTTAGTGGTTCTGGCTAACTATATCTGGCTGGGCCTGAAGCATTCTTTTTGGAGATATATATTTATATTGGTTTCAGAGAGGAAAAGAGAGAGAGATAGAAATATCAATGATGAGAGAGAATCATTGACCGGCTGCCTCCTGCAGGCCCCTACTGGGAACTGGGCCTGCAACCCAGCATGTGCCTTGACTGGGAATCGAACCGGGACCTCCTGGTTCATAGGTCGATGCTCAATCATTGCACAACACCAGACAGGCAAGGGCCTGAATCATTCTGAGGGAATGGTCCACATATGGAGATGACCCAGGACATGGTCAGTGCTGAGATGGCCGAGCATCTTGGAATGAACACTCCATAGCCTGTGTTGGAGTGGTCATGGAACCCTGAGGAGCCCTCCGGACCCAGTGTTCCCCTGGGGTCTTGTAGAATCCCTGCCCTGCTCTCTACCTGCCTGCTCCTTTGAGTGCCTCAAGACTTTGGTTGGGGGGTTGAGTTGCTAAGAGACAGAGAGACGGAGAAGACAGAGACCTGGAGAGGTAAGGGAAAGATAGAGATTTGGAGCCACGGAGGAGAGAATGAGGACTGCTGGAGAGGGGCAGAGAGACAGAAGAAGGGGAAGAGGGAGGAGAGAGAAGCATGGACTTTAAGAGAGAAAGAAAACTATGAATAGGGGAGAAGGAGGAGGAGAAAGAGGGGGAGGAAAAATTCCAGGAATAGAACTAAAAACGAAAGAACAGTCTTGTTGCTAAGCTATACTTAAAAACAACAGGGTTAGATGCTAAGTATTATTTGTCAAAAGCTGTGGGCCAGAATTTGGGTTGGTATCCTTCCCCCTCCATTTAACAATTTCTTGAGGGAAGATGTCTGTGGTTTTCAAGTGCTCAGTTACACTTCATTCTCCAAGACGTCTCCTACTGCAGCTGAAATGCATTTCCCATAATTTTGTCATTTTTCTGTGTGTGGCTCTATATTCCAAAGCATTTGCTATGAATCCTGACAGCTGCTCCCAAGCTTTGGGATACTCATCCCCCTGTCGCTTTCTCTGTCCCTTTCTTGCCATGCATTCTCAAGGGGTACAATATCGTTCCTACCAGGGCAAAAAGTGGTTCTTACAGGACAAAAAAATTCAATTTTTTTAAATGTAAAAGTACCTTTAAATGGAACATAAATAAGTATACAGTGTATTTGTGATGTTGACATTTCTTGATTGGGGGAAGAGGAGCAATTAGGAAAAAATGGGTCCAAAAAGACTCCTTAGTGGGGCGATTGATAATTTAAAAAAGGTTGAGAAATATTGTCTTGTACTGATGTGTTTCTTGTGCAAAATCGGGCTTCTGCTCATTAAATGAAGGCCTAGCTCAGGAGTTAGGAAATCGTTTGCTCATTGTCTGTTCTGCTGGGTGACCTAGGCCATCGCTAACCTTTCAGTGTCTCAGTTTTGCCTTCCACGAAATGGGACGGAGCCTAGCTGCACTGCTCAGGGTTCCACCAGGTCCCCTTTGCACACCACGCGAGTTTTCTGGAGCCACAGATGACAAAAATAGAAGCGGCTGTCCGTATTGTATGTTTACAAAAAGAGACAGATTGAGGCATAGCACAAGACCTTTCAGAGCCCAGAACACAAAGGATGTCTTTGTTTTACTTTTTCTGTAAATAGGCCCTTAGTAAAAATGATTTGTTGATGACATGATGGCAAAAAGAGAAGTTGCAGCCTGCTACTTTGGAGTCGAGTGTGTCTTACCTCAGCCCTGGTCACAAAGATGTGAATTAGCGTCTCCTCATCGGTCCCCACACCCTTCATGGCCTTGTACAGACGCTCGGCAAAATAGCCCTCCTGATCGCGGGCACACCTCACTGGCGGGTGAGGGAAAAGAGAACATGAGGCAATCACATTTGGTTGAATAACATGGAAGGAACAGAGATGGCCCACAGTGTCACCTCCCACCCTTGGAGGCAACTGGATTATGAAGCAGGTATTAGAAAGGAGTGAACTCCATTCTGTTATATCATGGGATCTGGAAGATTCCCCAGGTCAGGGCACCTGGATGCTTCACCCAGAACCCAGTCAAAACCCCTTCTGACAAATAAGAATGCCCCTGATCCCCGAAGACCCTTCATGGGTGGAGGAACGCTTGGCATGCTCAGGCTCTCGCTACAAAGTTCATGCTTCTCACCAGCAGCAATAGCTTCCCATCTCAGTGATATCTCTGACATTGGAGTTGGGTCCGGAGAGGAAACAGATGGACCGGCAACCTTGCTATAACACAACTGCATGATGTTGGAGATTCCCTCAGTTGGCCTGCAGCCGACTTTCCTGTGCTAAACAACCTTCCTTCCCTTTGTTTTTCTTCCCTGGGTTTGTTCTGTGAGTCCCATCTCTGGATCTTTTTCAAGTTCTCCACTCTCCTCTTAGTTTGCGGTCTGGGATGTGGGCTTGATGAAATGTTCGATCTTGCCTACGGGTCACCTTCCTAGAATGCTGCTAGTTACTCTCCTCTGGCCCTCTCCCTGCTCGCCGGCTTTGATCTGATCCACACATTAATGAGGCATGGGTTTGACTCACCAAGTAGGAGATAGGATGCACCTCTGGGGGAATCAGCATTCTTTTCTCCCCTCCTCCCAGGCTCCTATGGGCCCCTATTGACTAACACTTTGGGGGAAATGAGCCATTTCCTCTTTAGGTTATTGACATTTACCTGGAACACGTCATGTTTTTTATGTTAGTGATTGATAACAAGTAATAACGTCAGCATACGGCTGTACTGCACAGCCTTCAGATGTCCTTAATGGAAACTCTCGTTTTCTAGGTCATTGCCCATGTGTTGGATGCTTACGAGGAAGAGAGAGGAACGGGATTAGGGAAGCAAAGTCCAAGTTGGGGGTCTGTCTTCTACTTTTGTAGGACATGTGTCAGCCATCAGAGTGTCGATGGACAAGAAAAACCCAGACCCAGTTGTCTGTCCTCTTTAGCGTGAGAACAATCTAAAAGCTACTGGGTTGGCAGTGGTTGTGAGGGGAACCTGTCGACCTGGGGAGTACCATGTTTGGGACTCTGCGATCCCCAGACATTCTGAGCTAGTGCCCTCACAATCTCTTCCTGAAGACCGTCAACTGTGTGGTACTAACTGATGGTGACATGTCTGTCTGCCTAATGTCCACATGCTCTACACCGGTGTCTTTTTCCTTGGCATTCCGTCTTCCTGATATTTTGAGGAGAACATTCTCAGCTTTTCTTCCGTAGATAATCTATGCTTGGTAACAACCTCCGTCCTTAGCGGTGGCAGAGATCCCTCAGAAGTTTGGATGGGGCTTGCTAGGAAAGAGATGTGAATAACGAGTGAAAGCTCGGGCAGCCACTCCACCCCAAGGCTGCCTCCTGCTCCTTCTTATGTCACAGCAGGTGTTCTCACACTCCAGGGAGCATAAGCGAGGCCCTCGGGGATCCTGTCAAAGTGTAGCTTCCAGGCTCCGTTGCTGGAGCGTCTAAGTGGGTAACCTGCAGTGGGCCCAGAAGACTGGATTTTCACACCGTCGGGGGAGTCGTTGGGTCTCACAGCCCCTCCTCCTTGACTTTAGCCATAAACCGGCATCTGTATGAGTTGGGTGGGAGTATGGGGTGAGAGGACTGTCTAGAAAATGTAGTCATGAAGTCATGTCTGTCTACTATCTGTGTGGCTTCTTCTCCAGGTCTTTCCCAGCCACTTTTATGTTGGCCACAATGGAGGACACCTACGTCCTGGCTTCATGCTCCCAACTACAGGGCCTGAGCCTCTCCCGCCTCTGACCTGCCTCGCTCGGGCTGTGTTTGTGTTTGTCATTGCTGTCGCCTACTCGGTTGATTTGTGTGCATCTGCCATAAAGTGTAAGTTTCTTAAGAGCAGAATGTGGACCTATTTACTACCAATCCCCACACCTAGCAGGACCCCCTGGCCCGGGCAGGTGCTAAGCAAGTGTTAAAGAATTGAATGTTTTATTACCATTAATATGAATAAGGGTTTTATCATCAATAATTAATATGCATGAAGATTAATCTTACTCTTTTGACTGAACTGGTGTTTTCCTGATTCTCT